ACGCCGAATGCGCACCTCATCCCTACATGACACATTGATAAGTTCATTTAAATCTGGCTGATCTTTTATACACAAACACACACAATCGGAAAAAGCTTTAACCATACAGCTTAATACACTGCTGAAATACATCAAGCTACACGTTAAATGTCAGTGATGGTGCGGTTGTGGTTCATTTTATTTGTTAGGATTTATGAACCTCAATAGAAAGGTTGGCATGTCCTCCGGTCACCCAAAACTTAGTATATAGCAAGATATTGCCTGCTATATGCTGAGAGCACAGAGCCACGCTGCAGCCAGGATGGATCCCGACTGATTGACAGCTGGCTCTGTCTCTCTACTCAGCGCTGGAAAAACAGAGAGGGGAGGGGGGAATCCCTGCGGGGAGTGGTGAATGACAGTCAACGCTCTCTGCAGGATGAGGATCAAGGAACTCAACGATCGGCGGTATGTGTCCACGGACTTCCCAATCAACAGAGCCGACCTGTGACAGCTTCAGTGCCACAGGTTGGCTTGAATTATGGGGATGAGTGGTTTTCACTCACCGCATAATTCTCCTTTAAATTAGGAAAAGAATAACCCTTCAAGTGTTGATCTTGTATAAAAACACAGGATCAGCACTATGGACAGCTCAGAACATATTGAGTGGAATTTATCAAAACTGGAGCAGACTAAATCTGGAGCAGATTTGCACTGCAAGCAATCAGCTTCTCTGTCTCATTTTCAAATCTTACCTGAGCAAACTGAAGAGAGATGCTGATCCTTGGGCCATGGGCAACTGCTCCAGATTCTGTCTGCTCCAGTTTTGATAAATTCCCCCCATTGTTTCTTACTGGAGATTAGGGGCGCGCTCAGGCTTGGATCCCTACTTCTTTCCATGGAAATCAGCATCAGCACGCGGAAAAAACAATCTTCACTCATGTTTGCATGCAAGAGAAATTTAACATGTGAGCAATGGATCATGGGAAAATTAAGAATTAGCCCCATACAATGTGTATATGGCATGATGCTGCTTCACTTGTTATGTTTAGTGAATCAAACCCAGGCCACAGTACAGAGTTCAGCACGCGTTGGTTCCTGTTCTGTCTATCTGTCTTTAAGCAGTTTACAGGTTTTAAATATAGCAAAATAAAAGCGTGTTGAATAACCCCCATCAACAAGTCAGTTGTCAGTAGTCTATCGCAGTCTGGCAGTGAAAGTTGTGTTCTAATTAGTTGCTATGAGTTACCATGCTTTACAGTCTGCTCTCTCAAAGGCCTGTGTGTACAGAGACCATATGTTGGGTTCCACGGTGGCTATGTACGCAATAAGGCTTGATCTGATTTACAGACATAACACTGTATGAGCCCCTGGGTCCCTCGCTGCCAAATTAAAAAGCTTCTTATTAATTATAAGCAAGATGATGAGGTGGGGGCCTATGCAGTATCATGCAGCCGGTGGGGTATAATTAATATGAATACACAACATTCGATGGTGAGGCAGGGATTTGGGGGATGTTAATCGGGCGCAGGCAGCTGCCTCCCATCCAAGGATTACAAGCACAGATTGGTACTGCTCACACAAAGCCTGCATCCATTATGCATTATTACATGACCCAGTGCTGGCACCACCTCCGTCGTCTATGCTTTTCTGGTTATCGGCATATACATGCATCGTGGCTGTCATCTGTGAGTTCAGATAGACATTGTCCTTATTCCAGGTCTCCGATGCTGGCTTCCTGGAGATTTTAGTGTTAACTAACTAAAACTCAGCCATTTACTATAGTTAGAGTACAGGGAGCATGCTTAGCTAATGCTTCTCATGGGTGGTTTTATGTACAACGACGGAGCAGAGAAAACTGCAACAGGGGTTATACTATTGCCTACAGCAACCAGATTTTATGTCTTAAAAAAGAATACTGGTCTGACTTTAAACAGAATGGCGGGGAATTTACTAAAACTGGAGATGTCATAATCTGGAGCAGATGTGCATGACAACCAATCAGCTTCTATCTTCTTGATCAGTGAAGATTGGAAAATGAAAGCTAGAAGCTGATTGGTTGCCATGTACAGCTGCTCCAGATTCTGTCTGCTGCAGTTTTAGTAACTTCCCCTCAATGAGTTCTGTTTGCTCCAGTTTTAATTGAGCCATCGCTGCAATCTCTGTGTATTCCAGTATGCCATGCTTTATGTCTGTTGTTTTTGTAATTTGCATAATATTGCAGCACTGGATACAACGCACGCTTTATGTATTATATTTAGGTCATTTCAAATAATAGTGCTGACAATCTCAGCAGTATTTCAGATGAGTCCCTTCCCCACAAGTACTCATTTCGGTACCACAGACTTGCAGACGCACACAATAGGGCTAATTCTGAATAGAAGCTAAGTAAGCTTACTTGTGGTTTTTGGAACAGGAACATTAGAGGAGACTTGTACTTGAAAGAAATACCGAGACGGCACCTCTTGAAAACGCTAGCTTCTTAGCAGCCTCAATATTTTGGATTCACCTGGAACAAGCATGCAAGTAGTGAAGTCCAAGCACCTGATCTGCATGCTTGCTCCAGGTCAGTGAAGCTTTTTGGGTCACCATAATAGACAAGAGTCTAGCATTTTCAACAGAAAGGTTCAGTGATGACAAATTACATATACAGTATTCTAAGCACAGGTTTCCTCTTAACCCCTGAAAAGGATTGTACACGCAGACAGGGAATCTGGGAAGTTGTTGTAGGACCTGAGCACAGCAAAGAAGGGTTTGGCTAGAAAGTCAAATGTATAAACTCATTGGTTGCTACAGGCGATAGCCCTGGATTTCCTTGGCTTGGAAATCATGTTGAAAGGAGCGGTTATTGTTGTATCCTTTAGCAGAATTGTTCTAGGAATGACTCAGTGCTGACAAATGTTCAGCAAAGTGTTTCTCTTCATGCATCTCATTTAAAGGTAAAGCTGACTGCTGCATTAGTCCACATTGACACAACTTCTATTGATTCCACGGAACGGGCTCCCTCCTTCCCAGTGTTGTCATTTTTTGAAAGCGCTAGCATGCCCTCGTATATCCAGATGCTGTGAGATCTAAGGGAAAGGAAATTGCATTACCCATAGCAACCAATTGCCATTAAGCATTTATTTTGTCATCCATCATGCAAAGATGACAGATGGAGGCTTATTTGTTGACATGGCTTTCCCTTTATTAATCAGGAATCATATGCCATGCCACTGTAGTGTTTTGCAATAAAAATCATGTAAATTTAGAAACATGTCCAAGCTATCGAATGTTTCTGCCCAATATTAGCCACTATCATGTACTTCCATTTTCATCTGAAACATTTACTGTCCTAGCCTGCTTTATGTATCTGTCGGCCACTCCAGTGCGGACCCTGCCCTTGGGCCTGCTTTTTGAGTAATTATGTTCGTCTTTATTCTGGGTCTTCATGGGCTCATTTGTTCCAGACAATAAGAAGCTACTCAGTGCCAGAGTTGTCTAGGCCGGGGCCGCAGGCTTCTTACAGCCTATTATCTCTGGCCTATGGTAGTGGCTGTTATTGCTGCCTCAGTGCCTCCTATACCAACCTATGAGTAATGTCTGCCTCTCGGCTTCAAACACCTCTTACATGTTACTTGCACATAAAATCACCTTACATTATTCAGTAAGATGTAGGATCGGAGGCCAGCTTTGCCTGAGAGATTCTAAAATTTCCATGTACTGTAGACGGGAATTTAGGACGACGATCTCAAATCCAAGCAAGTAAGTTTTCCTTTATAATCAGTTACTTTGATATGCAAATATTTAATGTTTTCCCCCATGAAATGCTATATATAGTCTCAGCTTATCACATTGCCTAGCATATAAAGGTTCAGCCCACCCAAAACTGATATTTTAGTGGTACGTATATACTGACAGGTTGAATTTTTCATATTCACTAGCTTATTTTCTCTCTCAAGCGTGAGATCTCTGTGTCCCTTGCTACAAAAACTAATAGAAAACGTACCCAGAGCCATTGTATGCAGATAAATAGTGCTGATTAAACAGGCTCCATGCTTCCTCTGGGCCAGTGACTCTGAAATGACTGAAGCCGAGGGATCAGCAAGACAGCCAGACAACTAGCATTTCTGGAAGGAGTCCGTCTACATAGTTCTCTCATGACAGATATCCTTTAAGTTCTGTAAAGCCAAAGGTTAGGGTGTATGAAGGATATATCATAGGGTGTGTAATATATCAAAGTTAAATAGAGGTGTTGCTAGTAGCAACAAATAATGATATTGTTTTTATTCTGAAACATACAATGAGGAAATTAAATCAGTTTCTGTGGGAAATGGGCAGTAGCCAGGTTCTGCTGCAGTTTCCATAAATGAGCCATTCTATATGATTATGCATTGCTTTCTGTTAGGACTAAGAAATCACCAGTCAGGTACCAGTGCACCCATAATATGATTCATCCATTGCTTATTGCCTCATGCAAATGGTAATTTTCCCACCTGTGTATCCCCTGTGTCATTCATTTCTGTAGCTGCCATCCCACCCCACCCCTTCACTATCAACCGTGCCAGTGCTTTGGGACTAGAATATAATGGAAGAACATCAGCTTTTGCCCATGGTAAATCTGTGCAGCTTTTAAAGGATTTAGTGGCACTCAAATCGTAAAGTGACCTCAGCGGGAGGAGGGTGGGGGGGAAGTGCACACTCAGCTTCATAGCCCAGACAGTCAAATCCACACGGGAGAATGAGAGAGACATCAGGAGAGGGACACAGAAGAACAAGAGCGACACATCAGAAATGAGACAGACAAAAGCCAGGCTACAGAGTGACCTTTACATATATTAAAAATACACGATTGGTAAAAATTCAGAAGCGGATACTTTTGGTAGATAGAAAAGAGTTAAATGAATGCATGCAAGTGCAGACAGCTGTTGACAACCTGGTTAGGGAGAGAGTAAGCAGTACCCGTCACTGTCACAAAGTACCTGTTCTTATTGGTAGACTTAAGAGCTGCAAACTTCCCTTCCACCTTCAAACTTCCCAACATTTCCTGTAAGTATTATTCATCTCTATGTCTATATCTGTCACACTTTCATGAAAGTGCTTTATTTATTCTTGCTGTGCTGTATTGTTTATGAATCTAATCCTTCACATGCTTATTTGCTAAATGTATATTTGTAGTCATTATTATTGACATTTCTATAGTGTTTGCAACTTACTGTTTTTTTTTTAGTGTATATTATATATTGTTGCATGGTCGTAGAACTTTGCTCAGCGTTTTCTGCCTTAGTCTAGACTATATACTATTTTGGGGCCTATTTATAAAGGGTGGCAAAGCAATCAGCCTGCCCTTCTGTGAGCTGCACCATATTACTACTGTTTATTATCAGTTCATAGAGTTCAGCAATGAATGTCATGATATGTATAAAATGGTGGGGAGTAGACCAACTGGTGGAAAACCATGGGGATCGAAAATTGAAGAAAACTGATACCACCTTAAGAAAATTCCCTCTGCCAGTGTCTCTCCATTAAATAAAATGCAACGGGTTGTGTAAATTACACTTTTTTTTTTTTGGGGGGGGGTGGCATATAGAAAGCCTTTATATATTGGCAGCATTTGTGTGCAGAACTGTGCTGGAATGTATAGTTGAAATATGGCAAAAATTAGTGGAGTTATTACCACTAAAATAGCTTTACAAATAAGCAAAGCTGTCAGAATGTTTTTTTTCCCATGAGAAAACAAGCACATAGTGATTTTGATTTTTAATTGTGTTATTAAGGTGAATGTGTATACTGGCCAGGTTGCAAGTTTTATTGCCAAGTTTGCAAAGTGTGCATGATCTGATTTTGTGTGGCAGCTGTCCCTCAAAATGTTTCTCGATTCTCCACTTTAAGCTTAACTTCGGGCTATGACTAAACAATCATGTATACATCAATGTATATATGTGAATTATTGTGCCCACCAAGAGATTTGTGATTCTCTCCAGCCAGTCTTGTGATCCGCGAATCCCTGCCAGACAGCATATTAGTGACCTTACTTACCTTACCAACCCCCTGTCTGCTGATTGGCCTTTACTCTGCTCTCTGTACTCTTCTGAAATTAATATTAATACAAATTCACATAATTTACACTGCTTCTAATAAAATGCATGTATGTTAAAAGGATATATAACCGGATACATTGCTTATCTTTTATATTTGTTATTAATTCAGCTGTACCCAAATAGGGGGTCAGTTCATGGGTCAGGTCACCCAAAATGGAGATTTGAGTTACAGATGATGTCTGAGGACTGAACCTTCTGCTGGCTTCTTACACCTCTTTGGGACTCTCTTCGAGAGAACATGATCTCCACATTATACATCCTTACTGTGTTTACAACAACTTTCTGCTTGTTCTGACTCCTTGTTGAATTCTGTTTAAAATAAATTACAAAGATCCCATTGAAAGATTGGAGCTGTCTTGTAATGGTCACCACAGGTATGCAGGAACTCAAGTACAACGTTCTCATGAGATCTGAGCACCAGATTCTCTGAGAGATACAAACATCTAATTATCAAAGTATGCACCAGGGAATTCAGGACCCATACTGGCCAACCAAGGAGCCAGCAGGATTTTCTTTAATTGGGCTGTAATTATTTAGGCACATAGATGATGTGGCCCTTGGGATTTGTCCACCCCTTGTTGTTCTGATGTTTTCTATCCTTAAATTTAGATGATGCCTATTCTGTTTGTAGAACAAGCATGTGCAAGCTGATTAAATTTGTATATATTATCACAGTTAAGCAAATATGTCTGCTATCCTGTTAGTAAATATAGGTACACCTATCCTAGTAAATATGGGTACACCTATCCTAAAGCATTTTATTTAATACTGTATACCGTATAATGTGTCATATGCTATTTGTGTGTTACCTCACATTAGCATGAACTCGCTTCATATCATACAGTATGTGTGTGTTTATTTAAGGAAATCCCAATCTCGTACTTGGTATGACTGTGTACCAGGAGTTGCTGTGTGAGTCCTGTATTTCGCTGCTGTACATATAGAGGATGGTAATATGAAATGGTTAGATACATTTTTGGGTATTTGTTACTGGGTCTATATAGACATGTATGCCATTTGTTAAATTTATAGGGACTGCATTTAAGCTGTAGATGATTATTGTATGTGTCAGAGGGGGTCTAGTTTTCTCTTGCTAGTAGAATACAGATAAGACTGAGGTCTCTATGCCAGAGCTGTGTGTGTGTGTGTGTTCAGTGCTTGTTCTCTTAGTTATAAATAGGATTTAAAGAATAGATGCAGAGATGGCCCGGGGCGTACTGTCACTGGCAGGACTGTGAGCTGACTGTAAGCTTTGCTCTGTTCCCTCTTTCTGTATCCTATGGAGGTTTGGATACATTAATGCACACATACTTCCTCTCTGTGCCCTCATTCTCCATCTCTTCATGTTTCCCTGTGTCCTCTGTCAACATGCTCTTTGTGTATGTCATTCTTACCCCTACAACCCATCTTGACACACTGAGTCTGAAATGTGTTCTAATATGAATCGTTATTTTGTGGCGAAAGGCTCATGACTGACCTATCTCCATGTTTTCTTTTTGCAGACAGCTACCGGCAATATATTTTTGGATACAGCCTGAATGACAGAGTCTACAAATCCATCAGTCCTCCCTCGAGAGGATCTTACAAAGACATGGGGCCTACTCCATCTCCCAGAACCCTCTTCTTCTTCATCCTCTTGCATAGGGGAGTTGAGTCCCAGCAGAATGCTCAGCCTCACTCTATTAAGATAGATGGGGACATCACTTTGGGAGGCCTGTTCCCAGTTCATGCCAAGGGCCCAGCTGGTGTTCCATGTGGAGAAGTGAAAAAAGAAGCAGGGGTACATCGAATGGAGGCTATGCTGTATGCCCTGGACCAAATTAATGGGGATCCCGAGCTTCTTCCTAACCTAACGCTTGGTGCTCGTATTTTAGACACCTGCTCTCGTGATACCTATGCTCTGGAACAGTCCCTTACCTTTGTTCAAGCACTGATTCAGAAGGACACCTCAGATATTCGCTGTTCCAATGGAGAGCTGGCCATCTTCAGCCGCCCGGAGAGGGTTGTAGGAGTGATTGGCGCCTCAGCAAGCTCAGTCTCCATCATGGTGGCCAACGTGTTGAGACTCTTTGCTGTAAGATCATCTGCTTTGAATCAAAATGTTTCCTACTTCAAAATGCATTTAAACTCTAGGCAAATATATTTTGCTTGCTGCCTAACTCCAGGGAAATTAAAAGTTTTGTGCAGCTGCAAGGTTTAACCACTCATTTATGCCTAAGTGACAGCAAAAAGCTGTTTTACTTACCTAAACCCTGCTTCCGCACTGCTGCCTCTATGGTCCCTGCAACCTCTTCTCCACTTCGCTCCAGTGGTCTAAGGACCGTTGACGTCATCAAGTACAATGCAGGTGCCATAGCCTTGCACTGTACAAGAGGATGTGAAGGGACAGTTTACAGCCGGAGCAGAGGGGGAAACAACAGTGCCAACCACCCGGGGGGGAGGGGGGGGGAGGGATAATGTAATCAAAACAATGTTCCCTGTCCCCTAGGCATAAACAAATAGTTAGCCTAGGGGACTTAACTTTTCATTTTCTTGGAGTTGGTCTTTAAAGGAAACCTGTCACATGGATAATTTAAATTTAAATGACACAGAAACTTATGAACAGGCACCTAGAGGTGAGCATGAGCATTTTGAATAGAGGGAAGCACAGTGCAGGGGTTGTGACAAAGCTCTAATGTCCAAACTAGAAGTATTTGCATATTGCGCTCCCCTTGTGTAGTCCAACCAACTACCTTTGTTTGGGATATTTCAACACAAGGTAACAATGTTGTCAAGATTCTCTCACCACCTCTATGGTCATTGCAATAGTTAGTTTAAAGACTGTCTTATTTAAAACTAAGTCAGGCTTGATATGCATGGCTCCTTCCTGGTGAATTTTTTATGTTTTTAGAAATTAAAAGGCATAGCTATACCTTGGAAGCCTTTTAATGGATTATCCTAAAGCCAGTGAGTGAATTTTGAGAAACATTTTGCCTCAGGTTGAAATCTACCTTTAAGCTGTAGTTTTTTTGGACGTACAGATCTGAGGACTGTGTCTCAGCTTGCCACTCCAGTTTTCATATAAGTTTTCTGTAAAACCTGAAAAGTCTGAAGTTTACCTTCAGGTCCCTGCTTTTCTTGTGTTATTTGAATACCAAGTGGGAAGTTTACGTAAAAAGACGATGTAACCAAGCCCCATTACAATTTTAGAATGATGACTACTGCAACCTTGCTCTGCTTGTAGCACCGTCTTCAGGAGACATGGGTAACTTTCGGGATTAGTCCTGTTTGTGGCCACTCGTGTTTTCGTGGTTTTCAGGTACTGGATTTTACATTGGTTGTTTTCTCAAGTTAAGGAGTTTTTAAATGGTGATTTCAGCAGTTTTTTTTAAACTGGAATTCTAGTTTTTTTTAAGATAAGGGAATGATTAAAACTCCTTTCACATTTATATTGCTGTGTCCCCACTGGGGAGATTTCCCCCCTCCATCTTTCCTAGTAACAGATACCAGTAAAGGCACTAATATATCTGACAGAACTTCTAACCTTTTCCCACTATCTTAAAATGAAGAAAAAAAAACCCCAAACTGGTTTGTTAGTTACACCAGAATTCTTTAAGTAATCATTTTGATTTGGCAGGGGAAGTCTGCAGAAACTGAAAGATGCAAGCCCAAACGATTTATGATTAGGCGATATTTTACATTATAAGCTTCTGTCTTGCAAATATATGCACTAGTTGAGGACATGTATGCCTCACAGAATTTTGTTTTGAGATAAAGATCTGTCTGCCTGTGAGTGGTCTTATCAACCCTCATGATACTGGCATTGTTGCTGATGTGATTGATTAGATTCAAGATTACTAAAGAGCTTTCTACTCTAGTTCATTTAAAGAGGAATTGTATTCAAACAGTGTTGTACCCACTCTGGGTACACTTCCTAAACACCACCTGTGGTTCAAGGTGCCTAAAACATGAGACCGTGATAACATTGTACATTGCCCCAGCACTGGACCTTGCACTGCAACTTGTTTATTTTCTGTGCAAGGGATTACATGAAGTTAATACTAAGATATCATTTAAAGCTGTTCTCACCCCTAACACCCGTTTAACTAATTGCTGGCTTAACAAGAAAAAAAGATATCTAAAAGCCCAGAATACTCACCTAAATCCATGGTCATGTGACAAGCCGGGTCTCAAGTCTTCTCTTCTTACAGCAGAGTGAGATGGTCCTTTTACAGCTGTCCATGTCGCTGCCTGGGTGGTCTGGACACTTCTTTTTGGCTGCCCAGTAACGGGGTCCTCTCAGGTTCCAGAAGAATGCATAGTGTGATGATTTCACCACAAGGGACCAGTCGCCGCAGGCACAATGTGCAGAGTTGGACTACTGGTCCCTACTCCTGGAAGTGTCGATAACAAGGGACATAGATGCTGGAGGCTGCTAGAAAAACAGTTTTTGCTGCAATACTCTTAATTTGGCACTATCCCTTCCAGTACTTTTCTGACACAAAATAGCCATAATCTTCTGGGTTGAATGGCATCCAGCATCGTTCAACCCACTTCCTCTAGGCCCAGGCTGTCATGGACCTGCCCCTAGTCTGTGACTGGACAGTGAAGGAGAAGCAGTACAGTGAGGAGCTCATCTCCGTATAACTCTACTATTTTTTCTCATATCAGCATTCTTATTGTCAGCACATGAACTGACTGGTTCCTTGTACTGCTTCTTCCTCTCTCACTCTGAGCTCTGTTGTACAAGGATTGCAAGAGACAGTCAGGTCAAATTCAGGTACTGTTTGCAATTTAATGAAAAATGTCAGCTTTTAGTAATCATATTTGCAGTATTTAAATGTGCGAACAGCATTTGTCAAGCTATGGGCTAGCCAAAATGTTTATACATCAGCCCCTTAAAGAACAGTTCCAGGTAATTTTTTAAACCTTCACTTCACTAATGCATTCTTTCAAAATATTGTTTACTAGTCCAAAGACCAGCAGAAGGCCAGGAATTAGCACGCAGTCTGCAGGATTTCAGTTTTCTATAAAGTGCTATCACCCGCTGTATTCTATTCAGTTATTACATCAGAAGCAGGTAGTTCACAAGAATATGTGCATTACAGATGATACATCTGCCTCTGTCAGCTCAATGTGTCATTACCCTCCTTGTCTCCACCCTAGGACTCCAGTGAGCATGCTCTGTAATTCCAGTGGTGCTTGGGCAGCTGTCTAGAGGCACATGTAGCACATGTTGCAGACACATGCAGCTGGCCTAGACAGCAGATTAGTTACAGACTACAGTGTCACTGCAGGTGGATTTTAAAAATAGGCAGTGCAATTATTCAATAAAAACATAGGTGGGGGCTTTATATTTTCCCAGAGTTCTTTTTTATTTTGTTTAATTCTGTGCTTTACTGGATGAGAACATGTATTTATTTCTGGTTCATAGACGAACGCAATAGTAATAGACATTTGGGTTATATTGCTGCCTACAGGAGGATTTGGACACTGGTAATCAAAAAACAATGACCAGCTTGGTATAACCCCTCCCACTCCAAGCATGCCTCGGTTTTTACTGAGAAAAATGTATCTGTTTTACTAAAAAAAACATTTCTATGTTTAAAATATTTTTTTTTCCTTCACTCAAGACTTCAGAACTGCATGAGCTGTACTCATGTGCAGTTATCTGGATCAGCGTATCCTCCGCAAAAGTTTGGAGGCTGTACACAGACCTCCCTGAACTAGAGGATTTGGGGGGCCAGCCTGGAATGTGAACTTCAGGCTACTTCATTTATTAAAACCAATATTACACCCTTTTTTTTTTACCTATGCCATCTTCACGAAAAGGGTTGAAATGCTGAGTGCTGCATCACTAGGTGGAGTGTTGCTTGTGCACCTTTTGCACTCTTTCCACCATTCACTGTGAGGTAGCACATTTGTGCCACTGCTCCTTATCCCGCAGGCACCTGGTTTTGCCTCCGTTACTCTCAGCTGCTGCCTACAGTGACCTGGTCATCTTCGGCCATTTTAACCTCACGTGCTTCCAGCAGTCGGTTTGTAAGTGCTTAAGGTTTTATCTTGTATTAGTGCAAAGTTGTTCCAAACCAAAATGTGTGTTCTCTAACACCGAAGGAGCAGTTCCGCTGAATCAGGTTTTTCTGGCTCACAATCCACTAACAATTCCGAGGCAGCCTGCAGTGTTCTCTCTCAAGGCTGCAACCTCTCAAGTCTTCCAAATCAGCTGCTGACAAGCCTTAAGTACTCCCATCACAACTCAATACAAATTTCAAGCTGCAGGAATTGTAGTCCACATACATTATTTCTCTCATTAAGTCCTGATGAAGCGGGTGTGTTTTTGAACTTCAAACAGCATTGGCTACTCTACTTGAATGTCCCCTGACATTATTGGAATAAAGTTGTATCTGGACTATTTTAATTGGGTGTCGCTTCATTTCCTGCATCTTCTGTGATCACTGTTGAGCCAAGAATACTCTGGAGATCCTTTGGATTGCAGAAGCTGCCTACTCGTTAACCAGATCGCTCATATCACATCAATTAACTACTGGTAGATGAGAAACACCAACAGAATAACCACATGTGCCCAGCGCTTTCTTACTACACTTCCAAATATCCCTCTCAAGGACCTGACACCTAGAGCCTGGAATGCTGTCCCCTGCTTGAGTTTTTATATTTGATGCCATTTTGATACCTCCGATGCTCTCTTGATGAACCAGGCTATGTATTAACTGCAAAACGAGTTGTCTTTGCCCCACTAGTCCACCAACTTTGGTTATGAAATGTGTTCTGGTCTCCTTTTGGAAATAGTAAAGGTACCGTATGTATGAATGACTGATACAGTTAAAGAAATATATTTACTTAGCTGGTCAGTGTTCGTTGGGGGTCATTTAACAGTTTATTGTATGAAATGTTTAAAATACCACAGTTTTTATGTATAAAAGGCTACGCCAGTTTTTAGTGGCGCTTAAATAAATACGACTTGATATAATTACCTGTGTTATGGTACCATAAAAGTCAGATTTTTCTTTTGGTTTTGTCGAGAGTTATTTTGGGATGTGGTACCTTGGCCAGACATGAATTTAACTGTTTAGT